AGTCCTATTATCGAACAAAGCAGATTTATAGAAATTTCTCATTAATTATGCAAATTAGCTCCTAATTTGCATAACTGTCATTTGATTATGTCAAGCATCACTTCAGCTACCTACATACCAAAAATCATGACAATCCGTCAACCGGTTCTTGAGTTATCATCCTTTGAAAAGTTTTCAACAAATGCTCCTGCAGTTCCAGAACAAGCCGCTAGGGGGCCCAAACTCATGTCACTTCTTTCCTACCCCAAGAGCTATCTGTCATTCAAAATTCGTGACCCTAGCATATCTAGATCGCGAGATATCAAAACCGGAAGTTCTGCTGCAGTACCAACAAAAGCCGCCAGGGGGCCCAAAATCTAATCATTTCTAGGTCTCATCAAGTCCTACCCACGTACCAAGTTTCATGACAATCCATACCAAGCTTCTTGAGTTATGCTGTTCACAAACAAACAAACCAACAAACGGACAAACGCTACTGAAAACATAACCTTCTTGGCGAAGGTAATGAATGGCAAATCCAACTGTCAAATCTCGCCATTCTATTTTCTTGAGTACTTAGACACAAATACGAAACATGTCGAATGCAGAACCATGTATATGTGACCTTTTCGGGTCGCTGGACTCCTTGTCTGTGCTTCTTCTATCTCCCTTCGAATTCCTAGCTATAGAATGCTTTTATATAAGTTATATATAAGTTATGCTTCATATGCATCTTTCATATAGTATTTTTTTTTATCCCCAAGAAGATTATTTAGTTGCTTTTCGACTTTTCTTTCGAAGTGTTTCTAGTGTTGCGGTTTTAAAACGCCTATGTTTCTCAGGCTTAACATTTATTTTTACTCATACCTCTCCAATATCTATCGTCACCAGTTCACACCCTAACACACTTGAGAAACAACCGAGTTTCTGTGATACCGTCAGTCGGACGACACTGCACTTTTTTTCGTTAGTTATTCCAGCATTACGGCACACTCAAGTATTTTCAATATATTTTTATGTCGCCACCAACATAGAGAACAGCATAGTACTCATTTTCACCTGAGTGAAGTGAGGATATTCGTGTAAAGTGCCTTTCCCCAAGGGCACAAGATCGGTGGAATGGCAGAGTTCGAACCCGGAATCTCTAGATCTTGGTTCCGAGACGAACACTCGTTACTCCACACGACTACCAGTTTTGTGGTCAGGCTTTAGCAATCACAAAAATCCATCCGTATCTGGGCGTCACGCTGACAAGCGGACTGAAGTGGGGTGCACATGTTAATAATATCACAACTAAGGCGAAACAGACATTGGGAGTGATTAAACGTAATCTGTGGGCATGTCCAACTAGAGTAAAATCACTTGCATACACGTCACTTGTAAGACCGAACCTAGAATATGCTGCGACAGTATGGGATCCATATACAAAGAAAGACAAAGACAAATTGGAAAGGGTACAGAATCAAGCTGCAAGATTCTGTATGAACAACTATGTAAGAGGTGCTAGTGTCACGGAAATGAAAAGAAACCTGCAGTGGATCTCACTGGAAGACAGGAGAAAGATGTCCAGACTATGCATGATGTACAAAATGACTAATAAACTGGTGGATGTCCCAGCTACTAAGTACCTAATACCAGCCCAGAAGAGAACAAGAAATAGCCATGCATTCAAGTACCAGAGTTATCAACCAAGGATTGAGGTGTTCAAGAATTCATTCTTTCCTAGAACTATCGCAGAGTGGAACTCACTGTCACCAAGTACAGTAGGGGCATTGTCAATAGATAGCTTTAAAGAATGTCTAGAGCTAGAAGTTCAAGGGTTAGGTGTAACAAGTCGATCGGTGTAATATAGCCAGCTGCCGCCGCGCCGCGTGCCTGCGAAGCTGGTGTGTTACGCCGAAAGGCGGTTATACCGGCTATACAGATACAGATACAAATACAGACCCCACGACACTGCACTTTGTTTACGCTGTCTCAAACGTTTCCACTATCAAGCTCAGAACTGTAGTGACCTCGATATTGAAAATTACACCAAAAAACGAATGGTTGAATGTTTAAAACAAATGTATACGTATTCTCACCTGCATAGCAACTTGCAAACAACAGTGTCACGCCTGCAAATATCTTCAGAAGATCGTGCATTGTACATGTACGTGGGCGAGGGAAGGTTCTAACGTTACGAAACTGCAACGTCGTGCCTACACAGTACTAGTGGAGGGAGTGGTGCGCGAGTCTACACCTATAGCTAAACTAGGTCCGCTGCTGTAGCTATATATTAAACAAACCGCGCACGGAAACTACTTAATCTTCTTCTGTTGACTAAATATATCTGTTGACGTGCCACAAGCTGCGCATGTTACTTCCTCAAAGGTGTTCAGGGAGGCGTTAGGGTAACCCCCTGCGACATTCAATATCGTTTTGACGTTTACTTGGGTTTGTTTTTCGCAAACGTACTACATACAGTCAGTTAAATGTTACTAGTATGCCCTTTCACCTGTTTTGAAGACTGCATACATAGAACAGTTTACAGTGCACGAGGTGTTGTACTGGTGACGTTGAATAAAATCGTCCACAGTACTACTTTTCAACGTTAACTGTTTATTCGTGACTTTTTGTAAGGGTACTAAGCATGTGTTTCGTTGAACGCTGGTTCGGATTTAGTTCGTTTCTTTGTTTTGACTGATACTGGGAACTTAATAAAGATACTATGTTTTTCGAAAGAACTAGCCATTGTTACGAAATTGGACAACATGACTCAAGTTTTACCCCTGGAAAATTCCATGATGATTTTGGAACAACTTTTCCAACGCTTCCCAAACCATTGCTAAACCGTCATACTCAAGTACATAAGTACTGATTCTGGGAACTGGACAATTCTTGGTTAAGATACAGATAAGGAAAAAGCCATTGAAATTGAACAGCATGACTCAAGTTTTATCCCTAGAAATGTTTTTGGAACAGCTTCGCCATACGTCTGCTTCCCAAACTATTGTTGTACTGTCATACGGAAAAATTCCTGATCACAGTACTTGATAAAGATAGATTACCCTGTTTTCGGAAGAACTAGCCATTCTTACGAAATTGAACAACGTGACTCAAGTTTTACCCCTGGAAATTTCTTGATGATTTTGGAACAGCTTGTAAAATTTGTTTCCTCCTTAGTTTCGTCTTACGTCTGCTTTCCAAACCATTGTTATGCTGTCATACGGAAAAACTCGTGGTCACATGCATCCTTATATTTATAGCAGAAGGAAGACTGTACAGTTTATGTGATGTTTCGAACAAACCATGTATAATATTGAATATCCAATCAATTTTACAAAATTGGTTTCATGCTTAATGCTGTATCTCATTTATTGAACAAAAAGATAAATACATAGGAGTTTGTAAACATTTTATTGAACAAATTGAGGTCGATGACTTTTAACGTTATTGTTAATTGATTGTGAAATACAAGTACTACTTTCTATGCATTTGATAAAATCAACATCGTAAACAAACAAATAAACAAACAAACAAGCCACTAAATACCTCCTTTCTTTGCTTCTGTGCACACGTCACTCCAAACGCAATGACCTTAAAAACGTGCTGTCGGTCATTGCTCTTTAGCTTTTGAAAAGAAGAATCTTGTAAACGGTCAATGACTTTTCAGTTTGATGTTAGTCTTACCCCGCTTGCACATGCCACATGCAAACGAACAACACTTCCAACAAGACAACAACACAGCAGATATAACTGCCAAAATCAGGGCCATAACGTCTAACAGATAGTACTGGTAGAAGGGAAGTTCGGCTGCCCTCGACCTGAGATGAGGGAGGCCGCCATGTTTGATCACGTGTTCTATCCACCAGACTGCCCGCTCCATGGGCGACTGTGGTTGGTCACGAAGATGCGTGGAGACCTTGCTGGCTTTCTCCTTGTACCTGAAACAAAGGTGTACATGGTGTGATAAAGCCTTGACAGTTGCTATAACTACGAAATTAAACCACCGAGTGAGCGTAGCGGAACATTGGAATAGAACGTGTATGGCCTCCATAAGCCAACATTTAAGGGTTAATGACCCGACCTGAGGTGTATATGGTGTGATAAAGCCTTGACAGTTGCTATAACCACGAAATTAAACCACCGAGTGAGCGTAGCGGAACATTGGAATAGAACATGCATGGCCTCCATAAGTCAACATTTAAGGGTTAATGACCCGACCCGAGGTGTATATGGTGTGATAAAGCCTTGACAGTGCTATAACCATCAAATAAAACCACCCCGTGAGCGTAGCGGAAAATTGGAATAGAATGTGTGTGGCCTCCATAAGTCAACATTTAAGGGTTAATGACCCGACCCGAGGTGTATATGGTGTAATAAAGCCTTGACAGTTGCTATAACCACCAGATGAAACCACCGAGTGAGCGTAGCGGAAAATTGGCATAGAACATGTATGGCCTCCATAAGTCAACATTTAAGGGTTAATGACCCGACCCGAGTTGTATATGGTGTGGTTAAGCCTTGACAGTTGCTATAACTACCAAATAAAACCACCGAGTGAGCGTAGCGAAACATTGGAATAGAACATGTATGGCCTCCATAAGTCAACATTTAAGGGTTAATGACCCGACCCGAGGTGTATATGGTGTGATAAAGCCTTGACAGTTGCTATAAACACCAGATAAAACCACCGAGTGAGCGTAGCGGAACATTGGAATAGAACGTGTATGGCCTCCATAAGTCAACATTTAAGGGTTAATGGCCCGACCCGAGGTGTATATGGTGTGATAAAGCCTTGACAATTGCTATAACCACGAAATTAAACCACCGAGTGAGCGTAGAGGAACATTGGAAAAGAACGTGTATGGCCTCCATAAGTCAACATTTAAGGGTTAATGACCCTACCCGAGGTGTATATCGTGTGATAAAGCCTTGACAGTTGCTGTAACCACGAAATTAAACCACCGAGTGAGCGTAGCGGAACATTGGAACAGAACGTGTATTCCATTGGGGTTATCTTTGGCCATTCGAAGTTTTCGAACAAAGCGAGTCTTCCATTTAAAGTCGAAAAAAGAATTTAGAGATCTATCGCAGACAGCTATTTCGCCTCATACCTGGGATCTGAAATAACGGTAGTGATGGCTTGGTACACTTCCTCCGACGTGGAGGTGTGGATGTCCAGTGATACCGCCATCCCACGGGCCACTATCCGGGCAATGTTGTCATGAGAATCGGTCACTAGCGGCATTCCGACCACGGGCACCCCGTGGTACATGGCCTCAGCTACTCCGTTGTAGCCACAATGAGATACAAACGCTCTTGTCTTGGGATGAGCTGTTTTTTATGAAAGATGCAAATCATACAGTATGACGAAAACACGATCTAAGTAGTGGATGTATTGCCCTGTAAAACACGATACACGAAATGCTTTGAATTCATAATCGACCATCACCATGCCCTCTAACACAGGAAAGATTAAGATACGTTTGTCGTCTATACTTCGCCGTATATACGAGCAAATCGCAACGAAAGTTCTAGCTCATTGATTAGCATCTAACGTTACATAGTATTAACCGTCAAACCACCGTATGAGCTCAAAACGTACCCCAGCTAGGCGTATATAAATATGTGCCAATTTGACATTTCTTGTCAAACACGAAATTTCTTGTTTGTATATGTCTTAAGCTTATAACTTCTCATACGTTATTACTGAGATTTGGGACATTGTTGATTGAGTTATCCTGGAAAGTTTATGCGTGGTCCAGCGGGGTCAAAACTGACCCCAGCATTTAAAACATCTGAGTCTTTTGTTATCGTCAATATGTCTTTCAGGTAATGTGTTTGCTTGAGTTTTCTGCTGACATTTGTATGACCTGAACATGTTGAATCAGAAAACTAAGAACGTGTGACCCTAGACCAAGTTGCCTATGGACTTGGTCATCGACATGGCTGCCTGTAGGAATGTTGTTTGAGGTGCATAAATTATGATATTTAGCAGAAATCATTCACACCTACATGTAATCATGTCAAATTGTCCCTCATAGATCAGTAAAACTATACATACTTTAAAATCACGAACAAAGAGTCACGAAAAAACTACATTCGTGCAAAACATTATGGGGTCAGTTTTGACCCTATAGGGTAAGATTCGTCGCAAAAAAAAACCTACGGTGGTTTGAGGGTTAAGTCCTTAGTTACAACGCTGGAGTATCTACCTGTAGGGAATGCATGGTATACGAAACGATTTCATGATCAACCAAGACCAAACCAGCTTGCTGCTTCAATATTCTATGCCCCTTCTCCACTGCAGATAGGACTTACCTAACAGGTCGCTTTGAGGCACCCACTCCATGGTCTTGGTGTTGGTCCCCAGACTTGGCGGAGGTGTCCCGGCGTACCGCCACACGACCTTCTGCGGCAGGCGGGCAAAAGCAGCGGCCAGCATGTCGGCTTTCTCTGCGGGCATAGCCGCTATCATGGAACCGAACGTTACCAGCACAACTCCGTCATCTCCAGAACTCTGCATAAATTTCTCCAGCTCCTATGTTGTTATCAAGAGAAAAGTATACAAGTTAGGCCAATCAGAAGGGATCACATAGTTTCACTGCACACTGTAAGAATATTGGACAAGACCGAACAAGACTATTTCATGAGAGGGGTGAAAGAGGCTATTTACATCAGGGCCCATCACTCTTCACTCAACCGCGACGGGGGCCGACATCGTCTACCCGATACCTTTGACCCAGTGTTGACGTCACACTTCAAAGAAGCCACGTGGCAAGTCTCAATGGGTCAGTCTACTGAGGAAGACCAGAGTGACTGATCGAAAGCTCTAGATAAGAGAACTTTATTGTGTTGGATCAAAAGTTTTAACTTTAAACATGTAACTACCAACACAGATGAACTTTCATGATAAAACATAGTAAATCGGGTTATTAGTGCAAAACCTAGCTAAAACCAGGCTTTGCCTTTGGGTTAAAGTTTATATCATGAGTAATTACTTTACAGAGAATGTCTCATGCAGACTACGACTTACACTACTCATTTTATTTTCATTCTTTATGGGCTGACCTCATTCAGTGGCTTGACGCCCTCACCCATGTGACCCGCTATGCTGACCATATTTGGCATCATGGGTTTGGGGAAGTCGAACATGAGATCTGATTGGTAGAGCCACACGTCGGTTCTTGCAAGAGCAGCAGACATGGTATAATTGCCGCCAATAGTTCTGTTGGTGGCAAAAATAATGATCCTGAGTGTCGTTTCGAACACTAGTACTTCAGAGCCATACCTCTGACGAACGCCGATTCAAAAGTAACATATGCACATATACCTAGTTCTATGCTTTTTGGTTGCTCAATTTTTTACTTGTCATTTTATTGACATTTTATCTCACTCTGTAGAGGCAACTTGAAAACCTCTCTAGTGCATTTTGAAATCATCATGCGCGCATGTACGTATATGTTCACAAACCTTTGTGCCATGTCGTCGAAAATCTTGTCGAAAACCACCTGTGCCATGGTGGTCGCTACGAAATATACCAAGACGTTCTTCACTCTCTGCAAAAATGTCATCTTGTCTGACAGACCTGACGACACTGTTGGTACGTAGGCGAGAGGATTGGGGACACCAGTGGCTCGGATGTCTGAAAACATGTTATAACAAGACTGGCAATGAAAACATACATTGCCATGGCGACGGTGGTTGCTGTTAGGGTTATTGTTTGCATGGCACTGCCTTCATTATTCATGATTTTGAGGAAGATTCGGTACCTGTTAAGTGTAGACAGATACAGTGCACTCCTCCCCTGAGTGTATAGTGAACGAGCCCCGGGGTCACAGAAAGTAGGGCCATCCGGGGCAGAGAGGTACTGTACCATTAGGCTCCTCCCTGAGACGTCGCCAAAAAATGAGCCGATTATGTGCAATTCTATAACAAGTATGTTTCTGCGGCCTAAAGAATATAGTGTATAAGGCATATTATGTTACATTTTGTTGTTCGGTCTGGAACATATAGATATAAAATGTATGAACACACCTTGTCCGGTAGGCAATGACCTCGTTGTGCAGACTAGCGGCAGGTCCAGGTACTGCGCCACGAGGGGCCCACAGGAGACACTTGGGTAGGTCAGGACAACGTCATAGTGGCTGTTCTTTAGTTTCCTCAGTAGTTGTGTGTCACTCAGTGCCTCTTCACTAAGGCCCAGCGCACCGGAAAGCACAGTTTTGGCAAAAGAAGTTACCTGGTCTAACACCCCAGATGAGGAAAATGCCTGTAATAGGTATTGACAAAAAAATAATTAAGTGGCGTTTAAAACAAGCCTCGGCAACGTTTTTTTTTTCTTTTGATGTGAGTGATGATCATGATGTCTGCTTTGGTTATTGTTGATGGAGGTTTTTGTTTAAGTATGTGAGCCAGTCATAAGTTTCTCACAAGGAGACTTCTTTCCATGCACAAGAGCTACCTACCATCCAAAATTCATGACCCTAGCATGTCCTGATCGCGAGATATCAAGACCAGGGAAGCCACTAGGGGGCAAAAAATCTCATCATGTATAGATTTAGTCACACCCTACGGATCCACGAAACACACCCTACAAATATGAAACCAATCCATCCAGCCGTTCTGGAGTTATCTTGTTGACAAAATTTTAATTTTAAAAATCCCTGGAGAATGCATTCGTGGTATTCTTAGAATATTTTCAACTCAATTGCAGTACTATACCAAGGGCTCCGCCCCTAAGGTGTCGCCAAAAAAACAGAAACCATTGTCAGTTTTAAATGATCAACTCTCCGCCTATGTCTTTTTAACGGTACTGTAAGCTCTAAATACGTTGAACCTGAAACCTACTATCCTTTCAGGTACGGTTTTTATGGCTTCCTTAACCGACGGCGGTTTTCCAGGATCTCCGAATGTTTCGTATCGGAAGTTCGGCCATTTCCGCATGAGGTCGCTCTTCTGACTAGCATGGGCCAACACGGTGACGTCGTGTCCTCGGGAAGCCAAGACTTCGGCAATCTTCGCCACGTCCAGCCAGGGGCTGCCGAACGTCAATGTGGCGACCAGGATGTCGGCACTTTGGACGTGCTGGGACAAGATGGCGGCGACCGCCAGGAACAGGTGGAAACCGGTCGACATATTTCAGCAGCAGCCGTAGTAGTCTACAACAGTAGTTCTATGTTTAGTATCTGAAAAGTAGTAAGACATTGGACGATTGTAAAAGAGGTGGAGCTCAGATTTTTGTGGATTGCTGCATGAGGGACTGGCGATAATACTATAAAGAACACACACAAGACAAGACAAGGCACAGTCCTGTAAAAGTTACAGACACAAGGGAGGCTCGCTTCTAACTGTGAGGACTTTGACTTTACCCGAGGATTGAAATGTAACGTTAGCATTGCTCTGCTTAAAAACGCCCAGCCTTTCCACCGTGACTGAATAAACAGACTGATATGTGCATGTTGTGTGCCCATTGGCATTGAGTCGTTTGGTCTGACCCACCCAAGAATCTAAACAGCCATGACATCTGAGTGACAAACGCTAAACGTCCAGTAGGCCTGGAAGCCAAACTCGTTTTCCCGGCCGCAAGATCGAGCCCTTCGCCCGCTGATGTAAATTACCGCTACGGGGGAGTCTAGCCCGGGGGGAGTTTGGCTGGCCCTACAAACGTTGTAGGGCCGAAAACTCCCCACGCCCACCGCAGCGGTAATTTAGGTCTGCGGGCGAAGGGCTTCTGGCTGCCGAAGGAAACGGTTAGCGGCCCGTAAACTTGGCTGGCACCCAGTAGAGCGTTGTGGGGTCAGTGTATAACCATGGAAGATCAGAACAGAGACCTCCACGGTATGTAACAGTGGGGCGCTACCAACTGATCCCTCTGACTCTGACGGGTCTATACTTTTAGCCGAATGGTTAGGGCGTCGGGGTTGTGAGCTGGTTCCCGGGTTTGGCGTGGGCTCGATCCCCGACCCGGGGCCAGGGGTGTCTGTCTGTTTCTACTCTCCTAATTCTTACAGGTACGAGTATACTAGTGACTAAATCTCCACTCATACGGTGGCAAACTTGCAGTATCCATATCAGCGTCCATATTACCCACTAACAATTAGTAACATGTAGGTAGAGTAGAGTAGAGTAGAGTATTGGAGTATATAAAGAAATGAGTAAACCATTCCTCCTACCCGCGTAGTGCAGCTGCCCTTTAGCTAACGACGGACACTGGATCCGGGACGCCAACATACAACTGTTGTCTTTTGCCGAGTCGGCTATATATATAGCTATAGGGGTCTATATATATAGCTATAGGGGACAAAGGGCGATATCCGCTAGGTCATTGCCAACACATTTCTTGAACCTAACTCTGCCCTTGATTAATTAAGCATTGAAAGTGGTTGAAAGAACGTTTCAATAAGGTTTAAGTAATAGTGTGCACATCTCGAAAGTGGGTTAACTGTTGGTAAAAAATATCGAATATTTAGAAAGGCCACAAAACGACGAGACGGATATTGGTGTTTGGTAGCCACAGTCATGATCAGTTGGTTGCAATACCGACGACTACCGCAGGTGGCAACTCGTGAAACACCGCAAGACTCCGCGAGAGTTCACGAGATTAAATTTCCCGGGACCTTTAATGTTTATTCCATTCACAGTATTTTGAAGGTGTACTGGGTTTAGATTGTTTAAATTGTATTACCTGGATGTAACGTTATAACCTTCATCGACGTAACTGACGCATTAGTGTACAAACGTGAGAAAAGTGGTTTGACTATTTAGAAACACCAAAAACAACAAGTAACATTGTCATTTGTTAATCTCTAAGCAGGCGTGGGGTCCGGCTTGGTGTTTCATGCGTTTTTTTTCTTTTTGTCTCTTTTACAAGTAGACAGAAGACTGTATCGTTTAATGTGACCTTCATAAACATCAAATCAATTGGCTTCATACTTAAGGGATATTGTAACTAATTTATTAAAAAAAACTGGACTGACGTCCTACCTGGCCATAGATGCTACTTTACTCTACTCTAGTACACAAGAGTCTATGGATATTGAACTAAACGATGTCGATGACTGTTTAATGCTCACAAGTTGATTGCTAAATACTACCTTCTTTGCGTCTTGACAAAATCAACATCGTAAACAATCAAACAAACTAACTTCCTGTCTTCGATTCTAGAGGTAGAGCTGCACACGCCACTCAAAACGCTGTCGGTTATTGTTCTTCCGCTTTTGAAAACGGTTACTGACTTTTCAGTTTGGTGTTAGTCTTACCCCGCTTGCAAAAGCCGCATGCAAACGAACAACACTTCCAACAAGACAACAACACAGCCGATAGAACTGCCAAAATCAGGGCCATAACGTCTAACAGATAGTACTGATAGAAGGGAAGTTCGGCTGCCCTCGACCTGAGGTGAGGGAGGCCGCCATGTTTGATCACGTGTTCTATCCACCAGACTGCCCGCTCCATGGGCGACTGTGGTTGGTCGCGAAGATGCGTGGAGACCTTGCTGGCTTTCTCCTTGTACCTGAAACAAAGGTGTACTTGGTGTGATAAAGCCTTGACAGTTGCTATAACCACGAAATAAAACCACTGAGTGAGCGTGGCGGAACATTGGAATAGAACGTGTATGGCCTCCATAAGCCAACATTTAAGGGTTAATGATCCGACCCGAGGTGTATATGGTGTGATAAAGCCTTGACAGTTGCTATAACCACGAAATTAAACCACCGAGTGAGCGTAGCGGAACATTGGAATAGAATGTGTGTGGCCTCCATAAGTCAACATTTAAGGGTTAATGACCCGACCCGAGGTGTATACGGTGTGCTAAAGCCTTGACAGTTGCTATAACCACCAAGTAAAACAACCGAGTGAGCGTAGCGGAACATTGGAATAGAACGTGTATGGCCTCCATATGTCAACATTTAAGGGTTAATGACCCGACCCGGGGTGTATATGGTGTGGTTAAGCCTTGACAGTTGCTATAACCACCAAATAAAACCACCGAGTAAGCGTAGCGGAACATTGGAATAGAACGTGTATTCCATTGGGGTTGTCTTGGGCCATTAGAATAGAGCGAGTCTTCCATTTAAAGTGAGAATTTAGAGAGTTATGGCAGACAGCTATTCTGCCTCATACTTACCTGGGATCTGAAATAACGGTAGTGATGGCTTGGTACACCTCCTCCGACGTTACGGTGTGAATGTCCAGTGATACCGCCATCCCACGGGCCACTATCCGGGCAATGTTGTCATAAGCATCGGTCCACAGCGGCATGCCGACCACGGGCACCCCGTGGTACATGGCCTCTGCTACTCCGTTGAAGCCACAATGAGACACAAACGCCCTTGTCTTGGGATGAGCTGTTTTTGTATGAAAGATTCAAATCAAATCATTCTGTATGAAGAAAACTTTGTTAAAGTAGTGGAGACATTGCCCTGTAAGACATGATACACGAAATGCTTTCATGGTCGTTCATAATCAACCATCACCAAAAGATACGTTTGTTGTCTATACTTTACCGCATCAGAAAGTTCTAGCGCAATGATAATCATTTACATACATTTACACAACAGTGTACACCCCTATGTGTGCTTAGAATGGTATGGCCCAGCCGGTTCAGACCAGTTCAGACTAGTACTGTCTAGTATTGCTGTGCTATCCTTCTCCTGGATACTGTCTCAGCACTGTAATTATTACACTAGCATTGATGATCATATGTACGTGTGCTTTCAAATGTCGATGATGATAATACGTCCCTGTCCTTGGTGCTGAAATGTTCCGTAGTAAGAACTGTCCAAATTTACGAAGAAAATCGGGACCCCAGTGGTGCAGACAATATTTACCAAGCAGGTCGCTTTGAGGCACCCACTCCATGGTCCTGGTGTTGGTCCCCAGACTTGGCGGAGGCGTCCCGGCGTATCGCCACACGACCTTCTGCGGCAGGCGGGCAAAAGCAGCGGCCAGCATGTCGGCTTTCTCTGCAGGCATAGCCGCTATCATGGAACCGAACGTTACCAGCACAATCCCGTCCTCTCCAGAACTCTGCATAAACTTCTCAAGCTCCTATTGTGTAACAAGAGGAATATAGAAGTTGGGCTAATTATGGAAGGGGTGTTAAATCATCGTAATTATCATCGTTAAATCATCATTAAAACATCGTAAGTCTGAAGCTCTTTCAATGTAAATTTGGGCCATGAGTTCGTCTGAGGTACGCTGGGAAAGGGGGGCAAGTCTTTGACCTATAAAATTGATACGAGGCCACATTATGTCTTTTCATCCAACGGTAATGATTGTAGTTTAGCCAAATCGTACTTGGGCACGATTCCGAAGAAACGTGTGGCACGTGGACCAGATGTGGGGACTGCGATTTACCCGAAACGCGATTCCACCGGTTTCGTCTGAACAGGGTTTAAAACCTAAAACTAGGCTTTGAATTTGAAGTGTTTATATCATGAGTAAATTACACCGAATGTGTTACAGAGAATGTGTTTTTCGTGCAAACTACGAGTGTATTGCTACGCATTTTATTTTGTTACTATGGTCCTACCTCGGTGAGCGGCTTGACACGCTCAGCCATGTGACCATGTATGCTGACCATATTTGGCATCATGGGTTTTGGGAAGTCGAACATGAGGTCTGAGTCGTAGAGCCACACGTCGGTTCTTGCAAGAGCAGCAGACATGGTATAATTGTCCCCAATAGTTCTGTTGATGACAAAAATCATATTCCTGATCACGAGTGTCTACCGTGGCCGACAAGTACAAACCTGACGACGCAGGTATTTGTGCAGACGACGCACGTATGTACTTGTCGGCCACCGTAGTATTAGTGTCGTTTTGAACCATTCTGTTCAAAGTGGCGACGGAAACTTCTCCAGTATGATCTCATATCAGGCGAACACTGATTTAAAAGTAACATGTGCAGCTAGATTCCCAGTTCTATGCTTCTTATGTTTACCGAAGGAAAACATACTGTTTTTGCTGCGTTTCTTCTTCTCCAAACAGTGACCTCTGACCTTACTGAACCAGACTGTCTCTCACCATGGTAACTGGTGTTGGGTTACATAATGTTGCATTTTTACAGTAGGAGGGATTTAGACTCCTGTCATCATATATATGGATGTGTTTGGGTAAGGATTAACAGAGCAGACCATATGCAAAGGTAATCATTATGCATTTGCTTTGAAAATGTTACTTTTCTAGTTGGTTGCTCAATCTTTTTTACCTGTCAATTTATTGACATTTTATCTCACAACGTATTCGTATACTCACAAGAAAATACGTCAAGAAACTGATGAGAATTCGTCAAATGTAAAAGTGTGAATGATTCAGATTTAAAGGCAACTTGAAATCCTCTATATTGTATTTTTAAATTACAATAAGTAAGTACGTATGTAAGCACGTAAGTATGATTAACAAACCTTTTTGCAATATCGTCGAAAGTCTTGTCGAGAACCATCTGTCCCACAGTGGTCGCTACGAAATAAACCAGGACGTTCTTCACTCTCTGGAAAAACGTCATCTTGTCTGACAGACCTGACGACACTGTTGGCACGTAGGCGAGAGGATTGGGGACACCGGTGGCTCGGATGTCTGAAAACGCGTATATAAAAATCGCCAATGAGCGTAATTATCGCAAAAGTAATTCCATAACTAGTATGCGCCAACGGAGAGAACCGTGACTTTTAGCTGCGAACACATTTCAAATAGCCCCCATACTTTAACAACAGGCAACGCAAAAGCTGTTTCTAATTAACGACCCACCTTAGTATCTGCCTGAAGGAAACAAGCCCCCCCCCCTCGCTAATCAAAACAACTGTTTTTTTTGCGGCCAGTCCCAAATGTCTTTTAAATGTAGGGGTGCACGTGCTTTTGAAATACTAGTATTACATTGACCACGAAAACAGCTACGGTAAAGATAAAAATGCATGTATGTGCATCATCGCGGGCATGCCTGCAGACGATGTATAAAATTACAAGCCGATTAAACCAAGGGAACCGTGTGTTTTAGCTGCGAACGTTAAAAACCGACTGACCACAATACTCCTGCAGGAGGGATACCTCTTTCACGGAGTAAACACAAACACACCTTGTCCGGAAGGTAATGACCTCGTTATGCAGACTAGCGGCAGGTCCAGGTACTGCGCCACGAGGGGCCCACTAGAGACACTAGGGCTTGTCAGGACAACGTCATAGTGGCTGTTCTTCAGTTTCCTGAGTAGTTGTGTGTCACTCAGTGTCTCTTCAGTTAGGCTCAGCGTAGCGAAAAGCACGGTTTTGCCAGCAGTTACCTGGTCTAACAGCCCAGTTGAAGAAAATGCCTGCAACAGATATTAAAAAGACAAAAGAACAACAAAAAAAACATTCAAAAAGCCATCTACATCAGAGCATTACAGACATCCCTCACAGAGACGGGGGCGCCACAGACTTTCTGCAACCTATGATCCACTGCTCACGGAGTCACTTGCGTTATCTGCGTGACGTCATTGAAGCGGTGGATTGCTCATTCCTTGACAAAGACTGGAGTTGTACAGTCGAAAATATGGGTTTCCAATTGTTTGTGTTGGATATTGCAGTTCAAACTTGTTTTATAACAAAAACCATTATCAGTTTTCAGTGTTATACGGAATTATTTATCAAGTCTCCGCTATTTCTTTTTACGTATACGTATATACAAATGTACTTTAACGCTACACTAAGCTATAAATACGTTGTAATATTCCACCTTTGGAGGCACGGTTTTCATGACTTCCTTAATCGACGGCGGTTTTCCAGGATCTCCGAATGTTTCGTATCGGAAGTTCGGCCATTTCCGCATGAGGTCGCTCTTCTGACTAGCGTGGGCCAACACGGTGACGTCGTGTCCTCGGGAAGCCAAGACTTCGGCAATCTTCGCCACGTCCAGCCAGGGGCTGCCGAACGTCAGCGTGGCGACCAGGATGTCGGCACTTTGGACGTGGTGAGACAAGATGGCGGCGACCGCCAGGAACAGGTGGTAACCGGTCGACATATTTCAGCAGCCGTAGTAGTCACAAAAGCTTGAGCGTTCTATATGTTAGCATCTGAAAATATGAAACATTGAACGTTTGTAAAACAGGTGGTGCAGTTTGGACGTGCTAAGACAAGCTTAAGGTGGCGACGACCGCCAGGAACAGGTGGAAATTTTAAACCGGTCGACATATTTTCAGCAGCCACAGTAGTCCCAACAGTAGAACTTGAGCGTTCTGTGTTAGCATCTGAAAAGATAAGACATTGAACGATTGTAAAATTTTAAAGAGGTGGTGCTCAGATTTTTGTGAATTGCTGCATGATGGACTGACGATAATACTATAAAGAACACATGTAGGACACCTGTAAGGCTGAGTCACAGACACAAGCCTCGCTTCGACTGTGAGGACTTCTATGTCTACCTGAGCCTGAGGATTGAAATGTAGCATCGCCTAGCCTTTCCACCGTGACTGAATAAACAGACCGATATGTGCATGTTGTGTACTTATTGAGTCGTTTGGTCTGACCCACCCAAGAATTTAAACAGCCATGTCATCTGAGTGACAAGCGCTAAACGTCCAGTAGAGCGTTGCGGGGTTAGTGTATAACCATGGCAGAACAGAGACCTCCACGGTATACAGTGGGCGCTACCAACTGATCTGTCTGACGGGTCTATACCTTTTAGCCGAATGGTTAGGGCGTCGCGGTTGCGAGCTGGCGTGGGTTTGATCCCCGGCCCGGGTGTCTATCTGCTCCTATTGCCCTAATACACTCCTATTGCACTGGTTACAGGTATACCAGTAACTAAATCTCCACTCCTACGGTGGCAAATTGCAGTATTCATATCGGTGTAGAGTAGAGTATTGGATTATATAAAGGAATGAGTAAACCATTCCCCCTACCCGCGTAGTGCAACTGCCCTTCGCTAACGACCACAGCTAACGACGGACGCTGGATCCGGGACGCCAACACTACAACTGTTCAGGATTGTCTTTGCCGAGTCGGCTACTACTATTTATAGGTTAGGTAGACCAAGGGGTCAAAGAGCGATGTCCGCTAGGTCACAACAGTATATGTCTTGAACCTAACTCTGCCCTTGATTAATCAAGCAATTGCTTGAAAGTGGTTGAAAGAATTCGAACGTTTCAAGGTTTATTAAAAGTAATAGTGTGTTACAGGACGCGTAGAGGCTGTAGACCGTCATCCAATAAGAAAAGAGTAAGTCTGCACCTATCATAAAGAGAATCCTAAAGAACGGACGCAATAGTGTGAACATCTGGAAAATAAAGTTGTTTAACTGTTGGTAAAAAATATCGAATATTTAGAAATACCACAAACGACGAGATGGATCAAGGTTTATTGTTTTGTGCGATAAATGTGTTTGGTATCCACAGTTGGTTGCAATACCGACGGCTACCGCAGGTGGCAACTCGTGAAACACCGAAAAACTTCGCGAGACTTCACGAGATTAAATTTCCCGGGACCTTTAATGTTTATTCCATTCACAGTATTTTGAAGGTGTACTGGCTTTAAAGTGTTTTTTTAGAGTTCAAGGAAATATAGAATCTAAGATATTTATCTATCATTAAAAAATTAACCATGCTGTTTATAAGGATAAACTTGATTCTTTATTCATAATATCTTTATCTTCTGTTAAAATCATGCCTTAAGAAACTTAGCCTTTACCTAAGCGTACTGAATTTTGGTACGGTCTGATCACGTGATCAAGATTTCGCGCCACTTTCGTATGCCTTTTACCTTTCTGAGGTAAAGTCGAGTTTTCCAGACGATATTTTCGCCGCAGATTTGCAGTTTCTGCTCATCTTCCTTCATTCCAACTATCACAGTAACTGTGTAGGGACAGAAGGACTCTCGTGCATCACAGTTGAGCCTTTTTTGTGACAAGAAAAGCTAAAATCCGCCAAAATGCCACCACGAGACTACGCTGCAGAGAAAGGTATTTTTTCCCATCGTGTCTTCCACTTTAAATTTTCGTTTTTGTGGTTCAGAAAATCATTTTCCTAAGAATGTAACTTAATTTGTATCACCTTTTGTGGAACGTGACAACCTACTACCGTCTAATTGTTAAAATAGTCCAGTTTTGACCAAAAATGCGTCGAATTCGCCATTTAAGTAAAAGTGGGGAGGGGGGCAGGTTCCTAACGAATTTGTTTTCAAAATTTCTGAGCCTTGATTGGATAAGGTGTAAATGTCAATTTTTAATACATTATAACTTGTTGCGTTGCTATAACTCTTAGATACATCGTAAGATTAGTTTTTTAAAGATATGAAAATGTTTTTTTTTTGTTTTCATATTTAGAAAAGATCAAGCAGTTCATCGCTGAGTTTTATACCAGTGGAGACAAAGGAGGAAAGGACTTCAAGTATGCACAGCAAATGGTATGTCCAAACATTTAAAATCCATTAAAATGGAAACAGAGCATTGACAGAACACATATTAGTAATTATTTCAGAAACAATGACGAAGCCAAAATGCTGGTACTACCATAATTTGGGGGGTCAGCATGGATAGTGCATATTTTTTTTTTACAAATTATGCAAAATTCTCAGTGCAAATGTATTGTAATATCACAAACATCCCTATTTCATTGAGTTAGATTCCATGCACTGGCCGCTACACTACACTTTGAACAAGAGTAGTCCCTTTAAGAATTATATGAAGTTAAAAAGGTTGATTTAAGCCTTATGGTTAAAAAAAGGCATGTAAGCCTCCTAACTTACTAGTAATTACCAATGTGTTACAAGTAAATTTTATACAACATAGCTTCATGTGTTAACAGTATTTTACACGGGGCTCTAGCTGGCTCAAAATGTTTTTTTTTGTGGGTGGTCCTTTTCATGGTTTTATCTTTTTACCCAAGATTTTTGATTTTGCTGTCAAGGTTAACACTTGACAGAGTTAAAAAATTTTCCGTCATACGCCACAAATTTTCTGCAATTGACAGAAAAACAGGTGATGGCTGGAGCCCTGATTTTACACTTTTTAAGTTCAGAATCACTCAATCTTATTGTCTGCTGCCCTGCAGGTCAAGATCGCACACCGTGAGCAGGTAGCACTGACCATTGACATTGAGGATGTAGCGGAGGTTGACCCTGACCTGGCCGAGGCTATGGTGGAAAACACGCGTCGCTACATCCACCTCTTTGCTGACGCTGTCTACGACATGCTACCTGACTACAAACAGAGAGAGGTGCACTGTTTTATTGTTTGTTTGTTTCGCATAACCGATAAACCGCCTTTTTTTACGCGCAACACACCAGTTTTGTACAAGGTTTGACTTTGAACCACTCACACCAAGAAGTGCCCCTACTCTTTTTGATAAGTGCCGTGGGTTCTTTGACATGGGTGGGGTGTGGCTCTCCCCAAACACGGGACCTCAATTTAACGTCCTATCCGAGGGACGTCCATAACTGAAGCTAGGTACTCATTTTCAACTGAGTGAAGTGAGGAAAGTAGTGTAAAGTGCCTTTCTAAGGACACAAGATTGGTGGCATTGGGCACGATTCAGATCCGGACCTCTTGGGTCTGAGCCAACCATTCTACCGTTACGTCACAAAACCCCACGTTTTTAATTTTCTGTCACGGTCAGAGAGAGAGGATTTTAAGCTGTTGGTTCTGTATCATGTTATTTGTTGCTTTCTTGTACGAACTTTTTGTTTTTTGCATGTTGTTTTGTGTCCATAATTATTCCACATGCTAGACACATTGGGGACACTGACAGAAAGTTAGGTCAAATGCTCTTGAAAAGTTTATAACATTTCCTGTCTTAGTTTTAATTCACGCTGCAGACATGTCTGTTGCCTTTCAAGAGCCAGCAGGAAGGTGCATCTATTATACAGAAACTGCAAGAAATAAAAGTCTTCATGGAGGTACGAGGTCTTACATTTCTTGTTTGTTTATTTGTTTGTTTGTTTGTGTTGACAGGTGGAGACGAAAGACTCCCTTGACGTGTACATCCAGCATCGCCTGCTGATGGAGCAGCAGCACAGGGGTGGGGCCGAGCCACGGGATCCACGCAACCAGTTCCCGTCAGAGCTCATGCGCCGATTGTGAGTACAAAAACAATCTCAAAAGTGCTCAGATCTCACACAGACATGAGAAAAGACCTCTTACTGGCCGATTAGTCGTGGGGACTCTTGAATCTGGCAAAATCACTGAAAAATGCCACGAAAAGGATGATTCGCCTCTTCATTTTTTTTCTGATTTGAAAAAAAAAAAAGAATCAACTAAAAAATGCTCATATTTTGCTCGCAACAGTTGAGGTAAGTCCTTTTCTTCCTAGTTGTTGCAGTTTTTCTCTCTATCAATAGTGGTTTGGTTAAAATTCTTTGTTTAAATATTAACACAGCCTTTTGTGTTGACTTCATAGCTCCTATCATAGTATTTGAGGCTTTAATAGTATGCCTAGACCTGTTATTTTTATTTTTTTTGGCCCTGTCGCTTCATATTTTTCTGAAAAAATCAGAGAACCAACAAATTAAATTGGTGTGGCCTATGCTTGATGTTTCTTACTTAGGGAGAAGCGATGCTGCTGCAGTTCTGTGCCTAGAAGTGGCTCTTGTGGCTTTGCACTGAGCAGAACTTGATAAAAAAACAACAAAGAAAACTCCAAACTCACAAAGTACTCAAAATTTCTGTACATGTTTATGTCTGTATAAGTTATTTTATGTGTGTCAGGTGTATATGTTAATTGACCACAGGAAGAATAGCTGCAATATGAATTGTTAAGCTAATTGTGGATCTAAATAAACCAAACCAAACCAAACTGGCAGATGGGAATAGCAGAGTAAAAAAAGAAATCACTGTCCTGACTCAAGTTTGTGTCGTTTTTTTTCCAGCGAGATCTACTTCAAGGCGCCAAGTCAGCAGAAGCCGCTGGCCATCCGACAGGTGAAGGCGGAGAACGTGGGGAAGCTGGTGTTGGTACGCGGTATCGTGACCCGCTGTACCGAGGTCAAACCCATGATGGCGGTGGCCACCTACACCTGCGACCGTTGCGGTGCAGAGACCTACCAACCTGTGAGTATTTGGGCAGAAAGGTTTTGAAGAGGAAAACAGTTTGCAATAGCATATCAGTTCTGTATGCAGGTGATATTTACAATTGAAGAACTTTCATGCCATGTTTCAGTGTAGTAATTATGTTTACAGAAGGAAAATGTGTTGTTTTTGCTCTGTTTCCTCTTCTACTCCAAACCAATAAGGTCAATGACCTGGACCAGACATCTGTCACTATGGTAACTGGTTTTGGGTTACATCATGTTGCAATTTTATAGCAGGAGGGATTTAGACTCCTGTCTGACCATATATATGAATGTGTTTGAGTGAGAATTAACAGGGCAGACCATATGCAAAGGTAAACATTATGCATTTGCTTTGAAAATGTTACCTTTCTAGTTAACACATCTACTGTGTTGATTTGTAAATACTTGATATGTTGATTTTGTTTTATAGATCAATTCGCCCACCTTCATGCCGCTTCAAATGTGCCAGAGCCAGGACTGTGTCACCAACAAGTAAGGATCTTGTCAATATTCTATGATTTTCATGCTTGATATAACTGTACAATAGATTCTGAATTAAAATAACTCCTCACGATCGAGTTGCAAATTTTTAAAGATAGCTCTTTGAGAAATTAAAGTGTTTGTTGAGTATGTTTCCAGTACATGTGAAATGATTGGACATGTTTCCTGGTTTGACATTTAATTGTTTGTTTGTGTAGGTCTGGAGGACGTTTGTACCTACAGACGCGTGGCTCCAAGTTTGTGAAGTTTCAAGAGATCAAGATCCAGGAACATGTGAGTATTTACTTTGTGCACTTTGAACAGTCTTGAACAGGACTTGTGGATAAACTCTTTTGGCATTGAAGATAGAATGGTGTAGATCTAGAAAAAGAGTGGTGCAGTCTAACCCTGTCCCACTGACTCAACAGATGATGAATTGATGAGGATATTGTGTTTGTGTACAGTGTCTCACGTTTAGGTTTTGTAAAAATGCTTCACCAAAGAATTCTGTGAAAAAGTAATGGCACTTAGTAGTCTAGAAATTACACATGATGTTGGAAACCTTATAGATTGAGTCCATGGTACGTGTGAACATCAGTGATAGAATTTTTTTTCAGTGTTCTGCAATATTGTAGACTGTCAAAATTTTCTTCTGCAATTCAGAAATACTTTCTGCAAATATATGTAAGTTCTAAGCCCATGGCATATGCAAAACTGCATGTTGGCAAACATTTTATATGCAATTTGGAAAGTACATGTACATGCAAAATTAGTTATGTACTATAGATGTATTTATTAAGCTCTTGAAAGCAAAATTATGTTGACACTATTGAACCCCTAGCCTGATTTTTGTCAGTCTGCAAAATTGGAGGTTGCCTAATTTTTCTTCTGCAATGTTGAAAATGTCTCTGCAAAATGCAGACTGCAGGTGGGTAGTTCTAACACTGGTATGTCCTTGCAGTGATTGTGAGTTGATGCGATGTTTTGTTTACCCTTACCCACAGAGTGACCAGGTGCCAGTGGGAAACATCCCCCGCAGTATGACCATCTTTGCCCGTGGAGAGATCACCCGACTGGCCCAGCCTGGAGACCATGTACAAGTCACGGGCGTATCCTTCTGTAAAACGTGCATTTTGCAGTGATCTCGTCTCGCCTAAAATCGGCAGGGACACTTACACTGTTTAAAAAGATTACAGTCAAGAATATATGAATACCGGACACTAATATTGAAAGGCCAACTTGTTACGTTACTTCTATATTATTTGATTTGATTTGATTTGATTAATCATATTTCGTTACTTTGATTAGCTAACTCCACTTTTGGTTAATTATCTACTTTTGGTTGACAAACCTTTTGACCTATCATTATGATTTGATAACTGAATGATTATGATTGCTTCTATGCTGCCTTGTTTCATTTTGGTTGTATAATGAGTTAGCTACGATTTTCGTTTTGTTCACGATGAGTTTATCTATTTTAATTGACCTGTGTTAGTTCTTCTTTTATCTTAATTATTATGTAATGTAATTTTATGTTGGGGTTATCCCCCCAGGAATCTTTGAAAACCGCCATACAGGCGACATGTATATCCTGGGTAAATAAATAAACAAACAAACAAAGGATGTGATCTAAATTTCACTGTGATTGTTGTAACCAAGGATTGAGGTGTTCAAAAACTTTCCTAGAACTATCGCAGAGTGGAAGTCGCTGTCATCAAGTACAGTAGGGGCATTACAATGTACATTGTATATTAGATAGCTTTAAACAATGTTTAGAGTAGAGGTGTAACAAGTCGTTCAGTGTAATGGAGCCAGCTGCTGCCGCGCTGCACGCCTGTGAAGCTGGTGCGCTATGTGGAAGGGCGTTTATACCGGCTATACAGATACAGAATGCGCAAACTTCGATTGTGATTGTTGCTATTTGCATCATTAAATGACAAGGAAATTAAAAAGATTCAAGTTATATTTGTGTGTCTGTATAAGTGGTGTGCTGAAATGAAAAACTAACCATTCAGACTAAAAAGGTCTTTGAGCTACATTGTTCTTGCCAGAACCTAAGTGTTTTATTGAAGAATTTTAGCCACATGGCTCTTATTGTTATGTTGTCAACATCATTACCTGGGTCCTGTCTTCTTGTTTGTTGTGCCTGTTGCCTTGACGACCGTATCCAGGTGTTCCTGCCCATGTTGAGGACGGGATTCCGACAGGTGACACAAGGCCTGCTGTCTGAGACGTTCTTGGAAGCTCACGTGAGTACTCCAGCATTTCTTATAAGGAGCTTGTTATTTCAGCAGCATTTGTTTGTTAATGTGCTTGCTTGGTGTTTCTCTGAAAAGAGTAATTCAAGAACTTTTGTTCTCAAATCTTAAGATCTGGCCAAGAGCAAGGAGGATCGTTAAGATCTGCAAGATGAGACAATCTTTAAAAGAGTTTTTTCATGCTTTTGTTGCTACAGAAAGTGACAAAGATGAACAAGACAGAAGATGACGAGCTTGGAGCAGAGGAACTGTCAGAGGAAGAAATCAAGCAGATAGCAGGTAAAGTACAGAAACATACTATGCTAGTTGAAGTTGGTCTTAATTTTGGAACCAAACAATGATGGATGTTAATACAACAACATTCAGGGAATTGGATGTCAACTAAGGAATGTTCCCATTTACGTATATCAATATGACATACCATTTTGTATGTTGAAATTGGTTGGTGTTGAAGAGATCAAAACCGAAATGACTGCTGTTGCTGCTTTTTGATCCTTAAAAAGTTTTCTTTTTGTGCATTTGAATGTAGTCAGTTTGTACTCTTGATGGATAAATACCGTAAATCATGAAATAGTCATGTTGGCTTTGAAAGTCACACAAGTCTTTTTTCCCTCCTGCAAAATTAAGTTTGTAAAGAGATTGTAACACATTTTTTGTTCTGTTACAGAGGATGATTTCTATGAAAAGCTTGCCTCTTCCATTGCGCCTGAGATCTATGGCCATGAGGATGTGAAGAAAGCGTTGTTACTGCTCCTGGTGGGAGGTGTCGACCGTGCGCCCAAGGGCATGAAAATCAGAGGTATGTGGTAACAGTCATAACAACGCCTAGGAAACAAGTGCTTCTGCAAAAGCTGACCATTTTCGCCGCTTACAGGCTTACAGTTTTTACGAACATTTTCCCCATCCTAGCATTTCAATTTACCTAAGTTATATAAATGGTTCTAGTTCTCATCAACATTGTATATAATGAGAGAACATGCACTTCTATATTTCAACTCTTTAAGTTTAAAACATTACAAAATCAAGTATATAACAGTTTATAACCTGTTTTCTCTCTTTTAAGAGTCTTTTTAACAGAATAAAAAAATGAGACACAA